TTCTCCTGCCTCAGCCTCCTGAGTAGCTGGGATTACAGGCACGTGCCACCATGCCCAGCTAATTTTTTGTATTTTTAGTAGAGACGGGGTTTCACCATATTGACCAGGATGGTCTCGATCTCTCGACCTCGTGATCCACCCGCCTCGGCCTCCCAAAGTGCTGGGATTACAGGCTTGAGCCACCGCGCCCGGCCAACTTTTTTTTTTTTAATTGCATTTTAGAGACAACAATTGCTGGAGAGGATGTGGAGAAATAGGAACACTTTTACACTATTGGTGGGAGTGTAAATTAGTTCAACCATTGTGGAAGACAGTGTGGCGATTCCTCAAGGGTTGTTTTGATTAAATGAGTGAATATAAATGTATACATATTGAACATTTGGTTGATTGAACAACTTGGAAAATATAAATTAGCAAACTTTTATATTCAACAATTTATATACTCATAAGAATTTCCTCAGATTAAATGCAACATTCAGTGTACAGCTCAAATTATACACTATGATTTCAATTGTGTAAAGGTACATGTCATGATGAGGACTTAAGTATTCACTGGTATTATTTTCCTTCTGCAATTTCTTTCACTGTTGGTCTTTCCACACAAATTGGGTAGCGATGGGGACTTTTTATATTCACTGCCTCTAGGTTAGAGTTATTACTATAGAAATACGGAGAGAATGATTTAGGTCAATGCTTAGCTTATGCAATTCAAAGTAGACTTTTGTAGTGCAGGAGAGTGAGTGGTCAGATGACTGGGTCCATCCAGCCTCCTGAATGGGGTGATGGGAGGATGCAGAATTTGTGGACTGGAGATCAGAGAGAACTCCAGTATCTTAGTTGATGACATGAGAGGGATGATTGGGCCAAGAATAAGAGAGGATCCTGTATATTTCAGCAGATGCCCACCATGAACCTACTGCCAGCCTCTTGAAGGCCATAAAATTTCCATTGCATTCAAACATAACACCCCTCAAAGCTCAGACACCACTTCCAGATGGAGGTTTGGAGGGAGAAATCCTGAATGATTTCTGATTTTACACAGAACTGACTTTTATTTATTCCCTCGTAAGCTGGAATGAGGGTTTGAAGTAGTTTAAGCAGTCTCAGAGAAAAATAAAGTTATATATTTTTAACATATCTCAGAACATGAATTTTGAAATTTGTAACTAATATATGTTATTATATATTTATATATGTATATATCTGTATGGATACTTATCTACATTAATATCAATGTTTACATGCAGATCTTTAGAAAAAACATTAAAAGGAAAACTAAAATATTAGCACTAAATATATTTATTGTGGAATGATAGATGATTTTTATTTTCTTCTCATTTTTGCATTTTTCAGAAATTTGCAGTGTGTAGGTATGAAATTTATAAAGTAAATATTTTATTATTATTATAATTATGTGAATACAGTGTCAAAGGCAAATGACAACCTGGAAACAATATATGTAACTCATAATATAGACAAAGCTTGCTTTCATTTTTTATTTAACAAAGGATTTCCGTCAATCAAAGAGAAAGACCAGCAACTCAATAGAGAAATTGACAATGCAGATGAAAAATAGTTCATGGAAGAGGGAAGATGAATAGCATTTGAGCATATGAAATATTGCTTAGTTGCATTCATAATAACAGAAAATTAGATTAAAACTATTCCAATATCCTATCTGTTATCAGATTTGCCCCTTGATAACACATTGTGTAATAAGGAATGAAGAGACAGATAGTCTCACACATTGCTGATGGGACTGTAAATGGGTACAACCTTTATGGCAATATCCATCAAAATTACCAGTGCAAAAACTAATTGATCCAGTAATTTATATTCTAAGAGTTTATGACAGGGATGTATCAAGATATATGTAAAATGATATAAGTATACAGTATCTATTCCAACATGGCTACAGATTCAACACTATCAAACTACCAACATCATTTTTCACAGAATTTGAAAAAACTATTCTAAATTTCATATGGAGCCAGAAAAAATCCCAGATAGCCAATGCAGTCCTAAGCAGAAAAAAAACAAAGTGGAAGGCATCAAATTACCCAACTTCAAACTATACTATAAGGCTATAGTAACCAAAACAGCATGGTACTGGTACAAAAACAGACACATACACCAATGGAACAGAATAGATAACCCAGAAATAAAGCTGCTCATCTACAGCCATCTAATCTTTGACAAAGTTAACAAAAATAAGCAGTGGGGAAAGGACCCCCTATTCAATAAATGGTGCAACCCCATCACTTGGTGTATTAGTCTATTCTTGTACTGCTATAAAGAAATGCCTGAGACTGGGTAATTGAGAAATAAAAGAGGATTAATTGGCTCACAGTTTCATAGGCTACACAGGAAGCATGATAGAGGCATCTTCCTGAATTCTGGGGAGGCCTCAGAAAACTTACAATCATGGCAGCAGGTAAAAGGGGAGCTAGCACTTCACATGGCCAGGGCAGGAGGGAGAGAGAGAGTGAGGAGGTGCTACACACTTTTAGATGACCACATCTCACAAGAACTTACACACTGTGTCAACCAACCGGGCTGGTGCTAAACCAGTTGTGAGAAATAACCCCCATGATCCAATCACTTTCCCCAGGACCCACATCCAACACTGGGAATTACAACCAAATATGAGATTCGGGCAGGGACACAGATCCAAATCATATCACTCGATATATATCCAAAAGAAAATAAATTGTTCTACCAATTGTATGCACTTATATGTTCATGGCAGCACTATTCACTAGAGCAAAGACATAATCAGCCTAAATGCCCATCAGCAGTGAACTGTATAACGAAAATGTGGCATATATACACCATGGCTGTACTACCTGGCCTTAAAAAAAAAAATTATTTCCTTTGCAGCAACATGGATGCACCTGCATTGAGGCCATTATCCTAAGTGAATTAATGCAGGAACAGAAAACCAAATACCATGTGTTCTCACTTATAAGTGGGAGCTGCACACAAATGCAAAAATGGCAACAACAGACACTGGGGACTATGAGGGGGAAAGGGAGGGAGAGGGGCAAGGGTAGAAAAACTAACTATTGGTCACTACCTGGATGATGGGATCAATCATCCTGTAATAACCTAACTTGTGTTAGCCTAACTGACTCCATCTCGGCAGTAAGCTCCAGCCTAGCTTCTCCCTCCCTGCCACAGCCCCCACAGGTGCATAGCCGGGTCATGCTGCACTTAGGAGCCTTGAAGCTTTAAAGTTTGAAGCATACTGTTCTTAGCACCTGTAACCACTGTAAGCACGTCCTGCTTGGCCAGTCTACCTGCTCTTGTGAATACCCTCCTTGGTCATTGATTGTATGGAAAGTTCCCCCTGCTACCCACCTTGATGATTGTATGGAAATACCCTTAGCAACCAACAATCCTGGGAACCTCCTGCCCCCTAGTTACCAGCTTCCTTATCTAACCGGTTTTTTGTGCTTCTGTAAAATTCGGCTTCAGCTAGGTATCCCCTCCCCTACCTAAATCAAGGTATAAAAAATAATGAAGCCCCTTCCTTGGGGCTGAGAGAATTTTGAGCATTAGCCGTCTCTCTCCCCGGCAAATAAAAGACTTAATTTGGAACTCAGAGAGTGATGCTTTCCTTCTAACTTGCTTGGTTAGAACAGTCCCACAAACCTCAGGCTCACGCGATATAACCAGGTAACAAACATGCACATAGGTCCCCAGAATTCAAAAGAAAAGTTGAAATTATTTTTTAATTACTCTCCAGAAAAAATTGTCCTCATTTGTTTTCACTTCACTGTGCCTTCCCCAATATTAGTTACTATTTTTCAAAATCTCTTTGTCAATTGGCTAGGACAATTATAAAGTCTCATTGTAGTATTTATTTGTGCTTATTACTTATTACTGCATGTGTTTTTATAGGCCATTGTTATTTCCTTTTTGGAAATTTTCTGCTTGTTCTAATTAGCTACCCATCTTTCCCACCTTACTTACATCAACTTATTTTATGCCAGGCATATTAACGTTTCATTGTGTCACACATGTTGCAAAATTTGTCTCAGGGTGTATCCCACTTTCTTTTAGTTGTGTCTATGATACCTTTATGCATGGAATTTTCTTTTTATGTAGGCAAATCTTTTTTTCCTACTGTTTTATGTTTCAAAAGTTCTTCTCCATCCCCAAATCAGACACTATTCACTTTATTTTCATCTATTTCTTGGCTGTGTTTTTTACACTTAATACTGCTATCCGTCAGGAATTTACTTTGGTGTGTGGCAGATACTGCTTTACAAAACATCCTAGTTTTCCTGATTGGGGAATTTGAGTGCCTATTAAATGAAGTTTACTGACAAGGTCCTGCCTCTACACACAATTAAAAAATTAAAAGGTTAGCTAGGTGTGGCGGTGCATGCCTGTAGTCCCAGTTACTCAGAAGGCTGAGGCAGGAGAGGGGCTTGAGCCTAAGAGCTCAAGGCTGCAGTGACTGAGCTCAAGGAGCCATGATCAAGCCACTGTACTCCAGCCTGGGCAACAGAGTGAGACCCTGTCGCCAATAAATAAAAAGATAAATAGTTTCTGTACAAGAACAGACTGCAGAGACCAAAAACCCGATCATGCCATCTGTTCTGGTGGCCTCTAGCGTTCATCTCATGATATTACACAAGCAGCTGCTAGTATTTCTTTTAGAAGCACTCACAAGATCAGGTTTTAAGCAGGCTGCATGGGTTGTTTCAAGGTGGCAATACGCAGGTATGAGCTATGCCAGGCACAAGAGCACCCAGCTGCAGGTGGGATGGAGACCAGCTTATGTGCTGATTGCCAAACCAGGCACCTGCAGGCTGCATCCACCCAGAGAGGGAGCCTTTCTCTAAACCATTAATGGTTCTAGGCTTTCCAGCATGTAGGTTACTACAGACCTGGTTGAGAGGCCAAGAACAGAAAAAGCTAGAGAGAATGGGGACAGAGATCAGGAGGCACAAAGGCCAAACCAGGAAAAGCTAGAGATAATAGGGGCAAATTATGTCCTGGAGGCACCCAAGGCCAGAACCAGAAAAGCTGGATCTACCACTAAATCCAAGGGGTAAACATGGGGCTAGAAAAGGAGACAAAGGCAAGGGAATGGCAGAAATAGGGCGGCAAACAACAACCAAGCGAAAAGCTGACAATTTGCTGAATGCCTAAGACAACTGCAATAGATAGTTTGCTTTATTCTTCTCCTCCTCCCTTCTTCCTCCCTTTCTTCCTTCCTCACTCATTCTCCTCCTTCCCCCTCGTCCTCCTCTTCTCCTTCCTCTTTCTCTTTTAGTAATAATCTCAAAGCACAAGCATAAACCCTCAGTTAAACACACAGCAGTGAGGCAGACATCTGCTTTTCTGTTTGTTTGGTTTTTTTTTTTTTTTTTTTTACTTTAAGTTCAGGGGTACATGTGCAGAACATGCAGGTTTGTTGCATAGGTATACATGTGCTATGGTGGTTTGCTGCATCCATCACCCCATCATCTATGTTAGGTACTCTCCTAATGCTATCCCTCCCCTAGCAAACAACCCCATCAAAAAGTGGACAAAGGATATGAACAGACACTTCCCAAAAGGAGACGTTTATGCAGCTAACAATCATACAACATCTGCTTTTCTAAAATCCTTGACATCCAAATGTGAAACAGAGCTCACTAAAGCTGAGTTGCAAAACTCTAGATGCTTCTCTCTCCATCTCTCACCCATGGAATATTTTCCCCCTCATAGCCCTCTGAAGTTTCTCTGCACTTCGGTTCATGATATGCTGCCGTGGAGAGCCAATCTAATTGAGCATTTATCGAGAATGGATCAAAACTCTGCCATCCATGCCCTCTCCCTGCCCCCAGAGTGCACCCTTCTTACAAGAACGTCCCTCTGTGCTGGTCATACCTGTGCATTACCGTGCATGGCCCGTGGTGACCGTCCCCTGTGTCCCTCTGGCTCTTTGACAATGGACCACACACTCTCTGCTCTCAGGGTCTTGGCAACCCTCATGTTTCCCAGTGGCCAGCAGTCAGCCAGGCTCCACAACCAACCAAGACGAAGTCAGCCTGTGCAGGTCTGAAATAACTATTAAAACGAAATACAAATACGCTACATTTTACCCAGGACTTTAATGATATACTTTAAGTGTTGCTTTCCTATGTAGAAAATAGGCATACGTGGAAGCCAGTTCGCATAAAATGTCTGTATTCTTCTGACTTTGACACCACCGGCTCTATGCTTTACTTTTATCTTCCCATTTGAAAATTCTGATTGTTATAATCAGCGAAAATACCACCAGTTTCGTAATCATAATTAGCCATCTTCCTCCTAACCCAGCACTCACACACACACACAGGCATAGGCGCACAGACCCACACAGATGCACGCAGCCACATCTAAATTCATTTCTCTCTGATTCTCAGCCTTTGAGCTCAGATTCTACAGTTTCTTGCCCTGTCCGGCCAGTATTCTACAACCCTCAATTTGAGAGAAACTGAAACTATATTCTCACCTGGGTCCTGAAGGGCTGGAATGAGCAAAACCTTTTATTCTCAAGGCTGTGGAGTCCGTGTCGTGAATAATAGGAAAGAAGTCAGAATGCAGGACTGCTAAGGAAGTGAATAGGAACTCCATTTACTGCACACCTACGACGTATCTGGTTGGGTCGAGCACCTTTGCGACGTAATCTCATTCTAACGTTATTTTTAAAAAATGAGGTGTCTGCCAGGCACTGTGGCTCATGCCTGTAATCCCAGTTATTTGGGAGGCTGAGGCAGGAGAATCACTTGAACCCAGGAGGTGGAGGTTGCGGTGAGCTGAGATGGCGCCATTGAACTCCAGCATGGGAAACAAGAGTGAAACTCCATCTCAAAAAAAAAAAAAAAATGCGGTGATTATGAGTCTCTCATTTTCAGTTTAAAAAACTGAGGCTCAAGAAGCCTAGTAACGCTGTGGGCTGACATACAGATAGAGGTTATAAGACTGAAACCAGATTAAAAACTAAAGCAGTCATTTTCAAATGCATGATTTTTCTGGGGCTTGGTTTCTACCCTTCCGTTTTTTACCTTTTAACCACTTGTAAAACTTTGAACACATACACTCCCATGTGCCACACCCAGGCTTCAGCTCTTCGGGGTCACCCACAGCTTCACTTGTGCCACTGCAGGAAGTCATCTTGTGTAGATGCTATCACGTCCAGGCTGCAGTTGAGCATGTGTTTGAGTTTCTTGTAAATACGTCTTTGACTGGGGATGCTGTAAATCTTCCCTGGGCCTTACAATTCAGTCCTATGCTTGTCCCTACATGTTAAAAAAAAAGTGAGAGTAAGGGAATGCTACCTCTGCACACCTGCAGCAGACTTAGCTGGGAGCCCGCCAGGGCCGGGGCCCATCTGCCTGGCGCGTAAGTTCATCAAGTTGTCAGTGTGCATTTTGCAATAACAAGGGACAGGCCATGTCATCCTCATATCCTTTTATAATTGGAGCCATTCTTGTGACTTTTGGTGCCTCCTGCCAGGCTCTCCTGTTTTTTTGTTTTGTTTTGTTTTGTTTTTGGTTGGGTTTTTTTGTTTGTTTGTTTTTGAGCCAAAGTCTCACTCTTGTCCTCCTGGCTGGAGTATAATGGTGCAATTTCGGCTCATTGCAACCTCTGCCTCCCAGGTTCAAGCAATTCTCCTGCCTCAGCCTTCCGAGTAGCTGGAATTGCAGGTACCTGCCACCACGCCCGGCTAATTTTTGTATTTTCGGTAGAGACGGAGTTTCACCATGTTGGCCAGGCTGGTCTCGAACTCCTGACCTCAGGTGATCTGCCCACCTCAGCCTCCCAAAGTGCTGGGATTACAGGCGTGAGTCACCGTGCCCAGCCTGAGACTCTCCTGTGTTTGATGAGAAATGTGAGCAGTTGTTAGATGTCAGTTATTCTTCTTTGAAACACAAAAAAAAGGACATATCTGACTTATAACTGTCATCCACTACCCTGAAACTTTAAATGTTAGTGTTCAGCAAACCTATTTTCCATTCAGCTGCCAACGCACTCCTTTTAATAAAGGTGTCAATCACATTCATCCTTTTAACTCTCCCAAGGCTTTCTTCTTCCCTTGAAATGAAATCAGATCCTCCGCAGAGCTGGTGAGCCCCCGTGTACCCTGGCGGTTCCCTACACATACAGGCTGATGGCTTCTCCCTACTTAACACTCCAGAGGCCCTGGCCTTGCTCCCTCCTTCAAAGGCATCCACCTCACTCCCTTCCTTGACTTGCCATCCCTCTCTCTGGAAAGCTCTTTCCCTCTGCTGTGTTTCTTCTCTGTTTTCAGGTCTCAATACAAATGTCACAGGCAAGCTCTCCAAACTGAGAAAATAGCAGCCAGTTCACATCCGTCAAAAATAGGAGCAAATGGGCTATGTAGGAGGCTGAGTAGAATGTTTTACTGGGACTAGACAATATCAAACTCAGACCCCAAGACCCCAGGAATTTGTATTCAAGGTCAAAGTGTCAATGACAAAAATACTGAGCTTTACGTAGGTACTATGCTGCACCATTTATAAAGCACTTCCATACACAGGGGATCTTCCTGACCCCACAAGGCTGGGCAGTCTCTCAAAAAGAGGAGTCTGAAGGTCAGGGCAAAACAAGGACCCAAAAATGCTGCCTCCAAAACAAGCCATAATTCTTCTTCTCATCACAGCATCCCACACCATCTCCCAGTAAGTAAGACTCACAGCCCAGCGCCATCATGGTTTATTTCACAGGGAGGGGCGGGGCGGGGATTAAGAGACATTTCCAGGTTCTGGTTTCCTTGCTTCCTTGCTATGAGCCTCTCTCCTCAGAGCACTGTTTTCTGAGAAGACCTGGCTCTAGGAGCTGATGACCTCAGCGATTGCAGACCTGGGAACCTGTGGAAAGGAGAAATTAAGTCTACACCTGGGAGAGCCCAGGGTTGAATTACAGAAGTTCACCTTTAAGAACTGCTTTGGCCAGGCCCAAAAGCAGTGGCTTAAGCCTGTAATCCCAGTACTTTGGGAGGCTGAGGTGGGTGAATCACCTGAGGTCAGGAGTTGGAGACCAGCCTGGGCAACATGGTGAAACCCCATCTCTACTAAAAATACAAAATTAGCCAGATGTGGTCGTGCATGCCTGTAATCCCAGCTACTCGGGGGGCTGAGGCAGGAGAATTGCTTGAACTCAGGAAGCGGAGTTTGCAATGAGCTGAGATTGCACCACTGCACTCCAGCCTGGGCAACAGAGTGAGACTCCGACTCAGACAAAAAAGAATTCTTGATTTTTTCCTGCCTCTGCACTGTTGCTGAAATATACAAGAGAGAAAGACAGTGTTCTGTACCTATTTATTTATCTCCTCCTTCAAGCAAGCAGCAGACATTCATGATTAATGATGAGGTGACTTTCTATATTGACTTAATTGAAATCTGTATCCTATCCACATTATTTATTTTGAAAGTTGATAAAGATATTTTCCACTGATTCTTCTCTTCCAAACTCAAAGAAATGTTTTGCATGCATGATCTTCCACTAAAAAGGGGCACAGACTCTCAGATCCTCAGGAGCACCTATTTTCCACTCTATAGGATTGTGCTGCTGAAGACAAATGGGAACAGAGAGTGGTCAGGCTTTGAGACTCAGCATTCTCTCCATGTTAGCCTAATGCAAGAGAGAGGACTGGCCCACACCTAAGGAGAGAAGGTGGCCATGAACAAGTGTTGAGGGCTGGTCTCCTTAGCTGTCCTCTGGTATCCACAGCCCAGATGGAGGGTTTTTGGTGTTTTTTCCCTAGACGTCTCTATCACACCTGAATATATATATATGGTCTGCAAGTTTTAGAGAGGATTTCCAACCCCCACTCTACCTCCTGCCCTCCCTACCTGTTCTCATAGGTTGATGATATTCTCATCTTAGTAAGAGTTCTCATTCTCAATATCTCTTCATTTCAATCATTGATTTAGAAAAGTAGGATTAGAGAAGTGAAAAACGAGAATCAATGTCATCTGCAGGCCGGGCCTTGGGCTTCCTTCCTTGATTACCGTTTGTGTTTTTTTTAAACATTGGTAAATCTGGACACCACTGAAGGCAGTAATGTGACAGAACAATGGTCCCAACTGCATATAAATAAAAACAGATAGGACCAAATCTCAAAGCTCACTAGGACAAAGGAGGCTTTTCCATCCAATAACCCACTCACGGTTCCCCATCACCTGACGCGGATCCCAGGTGACTGAGAAAGAGAGTGTACTCCAGCGGAGAACAGATCCACATCACAGAAAGTCGCAAGGAGTCCTTGACCACCAAGGCAGGGACCAAGAGAGGAAGGTGAACCCGAGGCAGCTTCCCACCCTCCAGCCTAGCAGATCCCACACTCCTCCTGGCCACTATACCCCTCTACCCTTTGCTGCTCCTTCCAACTTTCTACCTAAATATTTCAGCACAGTGTGTGTGTGTGTGTGTGTGTGTGTGTGTGTGTGTGTGACCACATGCACCTATTCCTGTGTGTGGTGTACATATGCCTATATAATATGTGGTCATGCAATAGATTTATATTACCTTAGTACAGTTTTCTTTTTATTCCAAATGTTTTCAGATCCCTGAACTTAATGTCTCAAAATAAATAGTTCCTGTATCTNCACCTATTCCTGTGTGTGGTGTACATATGCCTATATACCGTATGTTAAGGTAATAGATTTATATTACCTTAGTACAGTTTTCTTTTTATTCCAAATGTTTTCAGATCCCTGAACTTAATGTCTCAAAATAAATAGTTCCTGTATCTCTAAAGACACTTTCATATGAATTTACCATTCTCCTTCCCCACCACCTCCTTCTCAAATAATAAATCTAGGTTAACAGTGTTTCTGGAGACCTTTCCATTTAAGGAAGTCACAGGCCATATATGGGGTGAATAACCCCTTTATCTGATGGAAAAGCACTGGTTATTTTTTTAACATATGCAAGACACCAATTTTGGAATCAATGAGTGAAACAGGCAATTATAGCTTTTGAATAAGTTTACTAGGAGGTAAACAAAGGATTTTTATTGCATCTCCAGAGACCAAATAGTGACGAAAAAGATTTCCTCCAGTTACGTTCTATTTCATAGCATGCGCACCAGCATTAACACACTTAATGGAATCATCTCTAAATCACATTTAGATACATTTTGTTAAAGTATAACACATCATGCAAATGTGTCTTTATGATAATAGATATTACTTCATCGTGCGGTAGGTCTCACTCTGTGACTCAGAGGACAGAGTTTGCAGCCTTATGCTGGAGAATCAAGCCAGGGAATACAGTGGAAGGCTAGAGCTGACCCCTGGAAGCCAGGGCTGATAGGAAGGCTTCCACCTCTTTCCAAGGCATGGTCACTGTTAGAGATGTTGGGATGAAGTCGAGTTGAGGTGTGACTGATGCCTTCCTTCTCCTCCTGGGGGTCGGGCCTCTAGCGCCCAAATGTGTTGCAAGGCCCGCACCGAGCACGTGCGCCACAGGGATTCGAGATACAGGGCCCTGTGGGCTTGTCACATGCATTGGTTGTGGCACAGGGGTTGCAGGGGAGCCTGTGGACAGAAAATCATTGGAGCAAGTTAGAGTAAAATGAGCTGAAGAGATAGGAAAATACTAAAAGGGCTTTGTGTAAGAATATTGTTCTTCCTTGGACTGCCTCCAAACAAAACCTTGAAATTATAAATTTATTTTCATCAAGAAGACTATTCATCTCCACAGCAACCTCACATGCCCCAAGGAAAATAATTACTCGGCCCACACTCACTTGCAGTCCTCGCTCTCCAGCAGGCTCCGGTACGTGTTGATCTCACATTCCAGCCGGGCACGCACGTCCAGCAGCACCTGGTACTCCTGGTTCTGCCGCTCCAGGTCACCGCGGATCTCCGCCAGCTGGGACTCCACATTGCTGATCAGGCTCTGCACCTGGGACAGCTGGG